GACTCCTATTTTTATATGGCTATCACTATGGCAATAAAATATGTCCTGCCCCTCCCTTAAATGTTACCAATTGACAGGTAATTGTATACAACAAAATTTCTTTATGAATTAAGCATGTTTGATTTGTGCTGAAAAATACAGGCTAAGGTAGGGGTGAGAACGGTGTGCTCCTCTCAATGTTGTTGGCCTGCAGTTCCCATTAACCCCTAGCCAGTAGGGCCAACAGTGTGTGAAGACATCAGCTGTTGTCCAGCAAAATCCAAAGGCCCACACATTTGCCAGTCTTCTAGCTTTTGCTTTCTGAGATCTTCCAGCCCTCATTTCAGTTCTGCTTCCCCAGGGTCCTAGTAGGCTATGGTCCATAAAAATATAGACTATAATAAACCTGTTGTCTTTGAGGCAATGGTGTGCTGCGAGCCAATCCTTCACTTTCAGAAGCGTTGCACTGGAACAGCACTAAGGCCACAAATATAGTGGACACTGACCTACTGAACAGCAGCTGAATCTGAGGAAAAGTTTCTGCACACATCTTAAGCTCTGACCACTTCTGGGCAAAAATAGTCTTAATTGTCTCGACATTTTAATTCTTCTTTGATTTTGCCTATATTTCATGTGTGTTCATGAATCCTCTGGGAAATGGTTGAATGATCATCATAAAACATACACTCACTCTCTCCCATTCTCTCTCACTGCTAATAATACACCACACATGACACATTTATGCTTCATATTTTATCAGTACAGCAACAAAAATTATTCTGTTTTTACAGGTGACAATTTTAAAAACAGAATTTCGACTGATGAAAGACATTGCACAAGAGGGCCTTTATTTCACCACCACCATTCTATTTAATTTAATTTATCCTTATATACTATTGCTCCTAGCCACCAAAAATATTATCTTACTCAACAACAGAAAAAGCGCATTGCTCAAAAGTGCTCCACACTGCCCACCCATGTGATCTGAAAGATAAGATTTTATGCATTCAGAGGCATGTCTTCCATCCTGTTTTCAGAGACTAAACACACGTGGAAACAATACATTCCTGCCATTTTGTAGGGCGATAGGCTGCAATCAGGCCCACCCAGAAATAATTTTCACTGACTTGAACCCAGGAAACTTTGATTATTAAGGGCTGAATCATTATAGTCTAAGATGCTGCTTCCTATAGCAGTTGGTCTGATGTCCCCAGAAGCCCCAAGTAGGCTACAAAGGCAACCATCCTCTACTCTCACTGCTAGGCAGCAAATGACATTGAATGGCACTTTGCCTCTGAACCTGGAGGTCTTAGTTATCCCTTACAAGGAAGAGCCACCAATAAACCTCTTTTTAAAAAAAATCTCCTCTGAATCTGCCTAATTCGCAAGCAATCTAAGCTAACAGCGACTTCAGTTTCTCTCAGTATGTTTCATAAACTAGTTAGGCTCTCTGTGAATAGAATCCTTTTTTCTGCCTTGAACTGCCTGTTAATCAGTTCCATTAGATCATTGGTTCTTAACCTTGGGTTACTCAGCAGTTTTGGACTGCAACTCCCAGAAGCCTTTACCACCAGCTGTGATGACTGGGGTTTCTGGGAGTTGCAGTTCAAAAGCATCTGAGTAACAAAGGTTAAGAACCACTGCATTAGATGACCAAAAGCTCATAGGCTACGAGAGCGAATAAAATCCACTTTCCATCTCTGTTTTCTATGTTCCACCTACCTCTTTCTCCCCATCATCTCCACTTTGATCATCCTCTTATAAAAAGTGAAAAACCTAAGGAAAGGCACCTTGGTCATTTCATAATTTGGACTGCATTTGTTAGAACCATTTCTCAGCATAAAACATAGTCTTTTGGGGGCTACGTCAACCTAAACTAGACACACTACAGATCTGTACAAATATATTATGGGCAGCATCAACTAGCCTAATAATTGCTTGCCTGTGTTTTGCATTTCACAGTAACTGCATAATGTGGGTCAACAGTCTTGAGTGAACTATCCACCACAACCCCAAGATCTCTACTGGCAGCTTTGATACTTTGCCTAATAAACACTTCCACGGCTGCAGTGCATCTCAATGAACCACTTTAGGGGAAATCAAAGCTCTTGCCCAAGGATGCTGGCATGTATTTGTATAGGGAGAATAGGGCCAAACTTACTTCTCTATTATGGAAACCTTTTCCAGAATGTTTCTTTCCTTCTGAAAGTCATCAGTCCTTTGATAATGGAATCTTGGCCCTCATCCCCCCCCCCAAATTAAGTTGTGCAGACAGAATGTGGACTACAGTTTAGCCCAACTTTATCTTGTTTTAACCTTTCAATATTGTATATGTTGTAAAATTTACTCAGATATGCAGATTGTATCTTCTGTTCAATTGTCTATGACCAAAATAAACATATTACAGTGGTGCCTCGAATAGCGAGTGCTTCTATTAGCGAAAAAACCAAATAGTGATGTGGTTTTCTGGGCTTTTTTGCGCTTTGATTAGCGATTTTCCTATGGGCGATTTTTGAATAGCGATGGTTGGGTCCGCGCTTCGAATAGCGAGTTCGTTTTAGGTCCCCTGTTTTCGATTAGCAATGTTTTAAACAGCCACGGATTGCTATTTTTAAAAGGCTTTAAAGTTAACGTTTCCTGTTTGAAATGGTTGAGATCATAAGTGCACTCATTAAAACCTTGGTTAACCCGATTTGACCTAGTTCTGACCCTTATTTAATTTGTGGTTGATTTTTTTCCCCTTGAGATGCATTGAATAGGTGCCAATGCATTTCAATGGGGGAACCACACTTTGATTAGCGAGGTTCCCTATGGAGATTTTCCATTAACGACGGCAATTAGTTCCAATTGGAACGGATTAGCCGGCTTTCAATGCATTTCAATGGGAAACAGCGCTTTGAATAGCGATGCATTCGAATAGCGATTTGGTTTTTGGAACGGATTAACATCGCTATTCGAGGCACCACTGTATTCATTCACTCATAGGGATCAGCATTTTTGATGAACTCCATCCACCACAATCCTAAAATCCTTTTCCTACAGCACCAGTTTAGACTACAGCAGTATCTTTGAGAAGTGAAGATTTTTTAAAAAATTTGCCCCAACATCCCTTACATGAAAATGCATTTGCCAATTTTCTTGTTAATTCACCTAATTTGGGCAGACTCTTTCAGAGCTCTCTATAGTCTGCTTGGCTTTTCACTATC